AAAAACCAACTGGCCTGATACCAGATAACAAAAACAACATAATGTCAAAATATAGCTTAATTAATTCAAGTTGATCCTTTATTGTTAGCTTCTTTGTTTGGAATTAACCCTCTCCGTGCGGGTCAAAGGCCATGTCATCGCGTTTGTTGACTTGCATTCAAAATTTTATTGAACTACTATTTTATGAATTTATGTCAATAAGTTTGGTACCAAATTTTACATTGTAATTCAAATTTTTGTATTATACATTATTTAATTTCATAATTTAAAAGCAAATACTAAAAAACACCTCAACATCAATTTTTTTTATGTGTCATGTGGTATGTTAAATTCAGCACTGGTTCAGATTAGATGTTTGTGATGTCCAAATACAAAGTCTATAGTTTCTTAAGAAGTAGGAACTCAATTTACCAATATTGACAAGCTAGGATATAAAATAAGAACCTCCCATCTTTTCTATTTGCTGAGATATTGCTTATGTACTGAATCAAACACAGTGACCCCGCCCACCTCTTTCCATTTTCGGAAACGCTTCCTTATACACACTTACTTCTGTCTACAACATGTGAACAACCAATCGAAAGCTCATAATGTCCCCCTAGTGGCTTTCTCAGCCAATTTCAAGTATTACTACTTCATCTCGTTCTTTCGATACAAAACTTCAAGTTGGTAAGGTGGGTCTTTATTCTGCTTGAAATTTCATATTTTTTTGAGACCCAAATACAGCTTAGTTACCAAGCTTGATAAATTAGTGGAATTTTATGATATCAATATCATAATTTATGATTTTTTGGTTATTCAAATGTGTGTGTGTATATATATAAAAACCTAAAAAAAAATCATTTCATTTCACATCCTCCACATGTGAAATTTCTTGAGGCTTAGCTAGTTACGACAAGCAGCAACCAAGTACAAAAATCGTAACTAGAAGAGAATTGATTGCTTTACTTCTTTATTTACTGTTCCATGTTTTAAGAAAAATAAGTTTAAAAACTTGTTTGTAAATAGTAATAATCTATATACATATTTTATGTATAATAATGGAAATGTGACTGTACAAAATACTAGTCCATTAAAACACAGCCAAAACATGTCATTTGGTTAAGACTAAAGGTCAGTCTTATATTATTGGATATGGTAATAGAAGTGCACGTGTGCTGCAACATTGCAACTTCTGTATTGTTAACCAGGCACAACTGAAAGGTCAATATAATAAAAA